TTTGTTTTTGAGTTTAGGATCCGCCGCACTACAAAGAGGGATGCAAACTTAGTTGGTCTGAGGAAGATAGAGTGCTCAAGCATAAAAATAAAATCTAAAGAGAGACACTCTAGCACTCCACGAGCACATAGAATATTTTTCAGTGACTGTCGGTGTCGAAAGTCCCGATGTAAGCCGAAACTCCCGACCGTCGGAAGTCACGACTCATGCCGGAAGTCCTAACGCCCAGTCACTTAGCCTGCGCAGTGACTATGGGCGTCGGAAGTCTCGATGTGAGTCAGAACTTCCGACAGTCAGAAGTCCCGACACCTGTGGTTCTGCTGGCCGGTTGTCTGCGCCCGTTGGAAGTCCCGACCCATGTCGAGAGTCTTGACACCTGGGGCGTTACTGGTTGATTAGCTGTCTGCGCACATTGAAAGTCCCGACGTACATCGAAAGTCCCGACCGTCAGAAGTCTCGACGTTTGCCGGGAGTTCTGACATTGACTTGCGTGTGCGGACTTCTAGCCCTATGTGAACAGTGTTTTCTGTTAAGGTCAGAAGTCCTGAGATCTGTGTCAGAACTTCCAACGTAGATCTAAACGGTTAGATTTCTACTAAGAGTATAAATAGTCCTCTCTTCACTTCTAACCGTTACAGACTCATTCACAGCTGACCAAACTTCGTCCTAACAGCTCCCAAGCAACAAAGGCACCCCTCTCCTCCCTCCTTTGCTCCAATCTTCAATTCCCCTAGGGTTTTGAGTGAAAGGAGAGTGGATTAAGTGAGAGAATCACTTTGGCAAGCTTGAGCACTTGATTTCTTTGTCAAGCCGGTTGGTTTTGCGTCTATTACTCTTGGGGCTTTGCCCCTAGCCGGCTAGGTGTTGTCTAAGAGCTTCCATCTTGTGGAAGAGCCTTGGGAAGTTTGTATTACCCTTGATTTCTTAGTGGAAAACTCAAGTGACCTTTGTGGTCACTTTGAGAGAGGCAAGGAGGTGAAAGAGACTCCGACCTTTGTGGTCACCTCAACAACGAGGACGTAGGAGCTCCTTTGTGGAGTTGCCAAACCTCAGGATAAATCCTTATGTCCCGTGTGCTTGTTGTTGTGATTGCTAGAGATTACTTGTATTTGTTTGTCTCTCTCTCTCCCAAACTTTATTTTAGGGTTTGGACTCAATCTACGGTTTGGAGGCATTACGGCGTCAAGGGAGTGACCCAACATCTTCACCAAACCACAAGGAAGTGGGGTTGTAAGATTATTTATCCGCAAAGTTAAATTTGGCACTGCTTTTGTAGTTCACGTAGGCGTCGGAACTACTGACGTTTGTGCCGGAACTTCTGATGACGTCGGGAGTTCCGACCCAAACGCCAGGACTTCTGACATTGACTGACAAATTTGAACTTAGCATTTACAGTTAATTTTTAGATATGCCTATTCACCCCCCCCCCTCTAGGCATTGTTAGATCCTTTCATTGGCCTTCTTCAGAAGCCAATAGAGGGGGAGACCTCGTTCACCGAGGCGCGAGATAAAGCGGCTGAGCGTGGCGAGGCACCTTGTAACTCGTTGTACTCCCTTTATGTTCTGAATCTGGCCCATCCTTGTGATGGTCGAGATCTTCTATGGGTTGGCTTCGATGCCACGTTCGGAGATGATAAAACCCAGCAACATACCCCTTGGGACCCTAAAACGCATTTCTTGGGGTTGAGCTTAATGCCATTTGCTCGAAGTTTTGCGAAGGTTTGCTCTAGGTCGGCTATGACCTGGTCAGCCCATTTGGACTTGACCATGATGTCATCCATATAGGCCTCAATGGTCTTCCGGATGAGATCCCCAGAACACTTGAGCATGTAGCGTTGGTACGTAGCCCTCGCGTTCTTCAGGCTGAACGGCATTGTGACGTAGCAGAACAATCCGAATGGGGTGATGAAAGATGTTGCAAGCTGGTTGGACTCTTTCATCGCGATTTGATGGTACCCGGAGTATGCATCAAGAAAGCAAAGGGTTTCACACCCTGAACTCGAGTTGACTACTTGGTCTATGCATGGCAAAGGAAACGGATTCTTTGGACACGCTTTGTTGAGACCCGTGTAATCAACACACATTCTCCGTTTCCCGCTCTTTTTTCGTACAAGAACAGGATTGGCTAACCACTCGAGGTGGTATACTTCCTTGATAAACCCAGCCGCCAAAAGTTTCGCAATCTCCTCACCGATGGCCCTATGTTTCTCCTCGTCGAAGTGACATAGGCGCTGCTTCATTGGCTTGGAGCCTGGCCTGATCTTCAAGGCATGCTCGACGACTTCTCTTGGAATGCCTGGCATGTCCAAGGGTCTCCACGCAAAGATGTCTCTGTTGGCGTTGAGGAAGTCGGCGAGCGCGCTTTCCTATTCAGAGGAAAGCGTGGTGCTGATGCGCACCACTTTGCCCTCGGAGCCGCTGGGGTCTATGAGGACCTCCTTGGCACCCTCTACAGGCTCAAAAGACTTGGACGGCCGCTTGGGGTCAGGCGCTTCTTCAACGGCCTCCTCCCTGATGGCCGCAAGCTCCTTGGAGGCGACAATTGCCATGACGTGTTTGCAGCACTCAAGCTCGCACTCATAGGCGTGCTGGAAGGAGGTGCCGATGGTGATGACCCTACATGGACCTAGCATCTTCAACTTTAGGTAGGTGTAGTTGGGGACGGCCATGAACTTCGCGTAGCATGGACGTCCTAGGATGGCATGGTAGGCCCTATGGAACCCGACCACCTCAAAGGTAAGGGTCTCCGTCCTATAATTGGTCAGATCCCTGAAGGTGACGGGTAGATCGATCTGCCCAAGTGGCACGGCTTGCTTTCCTGGCATGATGCCGTGGAAATGCGCCCTAGTCGGCCGGATGCGCGATCAGTCGATGCCCATGGCATCGACCGTTTCAGCGTACATGATGTTGAGGCTGCTGCCTCCATCCATCAGCACCTTGGTGAGCCACTTCGTGCCGATGATCGGGTCGACCACGAGTGGGTATCTTCCCAGCTGTGGGATGCTTTTTTGGGTGGTTGGTCCAATCAAAGGTTATGGTAGACTCCGACCATCGGAGGAAGGAAGTCACGGCCAGCTCGGCCGTATAGACCTCGCGGCACGCAAGCTTCTGGCGACGCCTAGAGTCGTAGGCCACCGACCCTCCAAATATCATGAGGCAGCCATCTAGCGCTGGAAATCCATCGTCCTTCCCCTCGGCATCGTCTGTGGCCGGCTTGGGCTCCTTCCTATGCTCTCCCTGCTGGAGTCAGAGTCGGAGGGTGACTCTGATTCTCCTGCGAGAAGGTCATGGAAAGATTCTACGATATATTCGGTCATCCCCATAAACTTGTCGTTTGTAGGGGATGGGGGCGTGCGTTCTGCCACAAGGTGGCCAACGGTCTCTGTGGCATTGCGCAGACCGAACGAGAGTGTTGTCGAGGTGCTCCAGATGAGGTATTCTAGGGAGAGCGGCTCTCCTTCGGCAAGCTGCGTCATGACATTGGCGAACAAGAAGGTGAGGCGGCCCAGGTCCTCCTGGGACGGTCGGGGTCCCAGGAAGACGCCGAGCTGGCGCTTTAACCTCCCGTAATCGAAGACAAGGAGCTGGTCGCACCTGGGGGCACGGGCCTCCGGTGTGTGTAGCTGCAGCTCCTCAAGCGCCTCGGTGATCGCGTCGAGGCCGATGGAGTGGAGAGGTTGGACGGCGGTGGGAACCTGCGCCAACTCTCCCTCCGTCGTAATGATGAAGTCCAGGTTCCCGAAGCGCACGTGCACGCCCGGGACCCAATTGATGCCGTGACTAGCCATCTGAGGCCTGATGTGGACGTCGAGACGCGCAAAAAGCCCCTACCTGACGCGCCAACTGTCGGTGTTTTCGAACCACCGACGAGTAAATTTGTATTTGCGCGTCTGGCTTGGATGGTGTGCTCAGAGAACACAAGGATTTATACTGGTTCGGGCGAAACATCCCTATGTCCAGTTCGCTGCTGCTCGTGTTACCGGCACTTGGTTTGCAGTAGGGGTTACATACAGGCGAGAGAGAGAGGATCCTAAGTCTCTGGTGGAAGCAGTGAACGGGTGTTGAGAGCTCGCTTGTCGCTCAACCATGTGCTCGTGTCATGCTTTTGTGTTTCGATCTCTCCTTCCTAGACCTCGATCCCTGCTTCCTCTTTTATAGGCGAAGGGAAAGCGCGGGTTATAGAGGAGGAAAAAGTAGAAGAATGAGAGAGAAAAGAAGGCTTTTAGGGTTGCCGGGTCCTTCTTCTCCTTCATGCGGGTCCTGCTGATCCTGTAGATGTCAACAGGGACGGCTCCATGTCTCGGCCCTATTCGTCACTGGCGTCATCTGCCGGTCATGGCGTTCCACTCCGTCCCGATGGACGTCGTGGTGAACTGACACGCTTATCAGCGTCCGTACAAGGATTAGGCAGAACAGCACCGGCACGTCCAACACTGTTCTTGATATTAATCTCCAGGTATGGTCCGTCATGGCCATGGGTTACATCCAGGCATGCCAGCCTCTTCCCTGGTGTCAGAGTTTTGACCCAGGCCCATATGCTTGGACCTGTAGTGGTTGGCGGCGGTATGGGTCCCCGTCGGACAAGATGGAAACCGCGTCCTCAGGGTTGGGTGAGATGGAGCCTGCACCCAAGGGTTGGGCGAGACGGAGCCCGCGGCCTTGGGCGAGACAGAAACCGTGTTCTTGGGGTCGGGCGAGACGGAGCCCGCACCCAAGGGGTCGGGCGAGACAGAGCCCGCTTCCTGGGGGTCGGGCGAGGCGGAGCCCGCACCCAAAGGGTCGGGAGAGACGGAGCCCGCGGCCTTGGGGTCGGACGAGGCGGAGCCCACGACCTCGGGGTCGGGCGAGACCTTTTAATTCGTCTCAAGCCATCCGGAGGAGTCAGCGTGTGCGCTTACTCCCTTGCTTTGGGTATCCCTAATATCGATACTCGACAACAATAAACAAATAATTATAATAGAAACAGCATCGCATTTCGCTCAATTCAGACATGTACATACCTTGCAAGCATAGGCGGAATAGGTGTGCCAGGCACCATTGCTAAGGATGAAGCTGAAAATGCAGTGCCTTCTCTCAGAAGATAAGGAATGAGCAGATCCTGACAAATATTGTATTATTGTCAGCATAAGTAACGTCTCTTGAAGCATCCTATTTTAATTTTGAGTTGAGTATAACTGTCACTATTTGCCGCTTGCACTTACACAAAGTTAATATTTATATCACCTTCAAAGCATCATAGCTACCATCTGTGCCATTTATATCATACAAATAGACTATGGTCATCCTTACTGTTGGCTGGAGCAAACTATTCTCTATTTCAAGGGAGACAATGCCTTTTGATATATATAAAATGACATGCATTTACCTTTTAAAAAGGTGAATGTACAATGATAATGTAGAGTTGAGACTTGAGCATTACTCCAAATTACAGTTTGACTTCAACCTTATTTTGTAGACATAGTTGTGTAGTGAAGATCAGTAGTGCATCTACTCAGTCCAGAAAAATTCACGTAAATTTAGCCTATTAGTCTTAAAGTTAGTACAAATTTTACTTTTAAAATGAGAAGTTAACCAATTACAAGAGACACAGTACAGCCTTTGGACTGATCCTAGATAGATCCACCCCTGATGAAGTTTGCAGGCTTACAGCTTGGGTAAATCCACAAATTTCATGTAGGATGAATCTATTTTTTTAGGAATGTAAACAGTCAGGATGTAAGCAAAGCTTGGAAATTGTGTACCATGATAAGCCCCGTTTAGATTCCAAAATTTTTTGCGCAGTATCCATCACATCGAATCTTGCTGCACATGCATGGAGTACTAAATGTAGACGGGAAAAAAAAAACTAATTGCACAGTTGGGTGAGAAATCGCGAGACGAAACTTTTGAACATAATTAGTCCATAATTAAACACTAATTGACAAATACAAACGAAAGTGCTACAGTAGCCAAAATCCAAAAAAATTTGGATCTAAACAGGGCCTAAATGTATATGACTCAAGTGATAGGTTCAGTCACTTACTAGATTAGGAAGGACATTGTATGCCTCAGCAACTTCAGTTGAAAGACTCTGCGCAAAAAAGGAAGATCCAAAGACAAAAAATTTGGTTCAGAACAATGTGTGTACTTTGGAAATCAAATATAGGGATCTAATGCAGTGGTCCAAATCCTCTTTCTATTCTATTTAGAAAGAAATTTTTTAGTAAGGGAGACAATCAAGACAACTTCCCTGGAAGAATTATCAACAAGAGAATGGTACAGGAAGCGTTGGATAACAGCTGTTGGGTTAGCGATGTTAAAGGACCCTCTCTGAGCAGTGCCCTAGTGGAATATCTCCACTTATGAGAAGAAAGGCCAAAATAGCCGAGTACAGTGACCTTATTACAACCAAACATGACTGCTGCCTGCCCCTCACCTCGCGTGCCACCACAGTGTTGTGAGGGCCTTGAAAAGCAGGTGCTCTGTTTGAAGGTAGGTAAGTAAATGTGACATTCTCTTGCTGCTTGAATTGCCAGTTTAAACTATTTACCATGTTGTCTTGCCGCTTAAATTGCCAATTTATATTATGTACCAATATGCCATTATACTCTGGTCTATACTCAGTCTGATTTGATCATCATATGTTAATTAAATTAAAGTGCAAGTTGGTGATTCGGTAATATTGTGGTGAATTAAATTGTCAACTGGTCATCGGAAGTCCATTCCATTTTTTACAGCAACTTATATTTATGTTATTCCTCTCTTGCATTAACCTATTGGTTCTTTAATATGCAGTTTCTAGTAGGCGTACTAATGCAGACTCATGGACACATTAGCTGTAGCTCAACAATTCTCTGTAGCTCGTTTATAGCACTGTGCGCTTTGTTGAACTGTATTTTGTTTACTAGACATGCACTTTATAGTTTTTTCTCTGTTGTCTAGTACACATCTCACATCTGCACTGGACTTTGTAGTTCATTACTTCATTCTCTGTAGTCCAGTGCACATCTGTAATGTACTTCCACTTTGTAGTTAATTCTGTATAGTCAGTAGTCCAGTACAGCAGTACACATCTATACTGGACTTGCACTTTTCATTGACAAGTTCTATTCAACAAGCAGAATTGATGACCAATCTTTAGCTAAATATAGTGATGTTTGTATTTTACAGGTACTTCAAACTTCAAAAGTGCATGAAGGTTGAAGAGGAAACTATCTATTGCTGTCTAATGCTTAGAATTTCTTTGGAGCTGGAAAAACCTAGGTGACTTTTAAATTATCACTTATGTGGCGGACTTTAAAAAAAACATGCATGTGTGATTTTTTTTTCTCTCGAACACGCAGGAGAGCTACGTATCATTATATTAAGAAGAAAAAATAGGATAAGAACCCATACAAGGCACACCCACTCACACCACTATGTCCAAAATAAACAGACTAGCCGTTGGCATACAAAGAAGGCGACCTCAACCAAAAAATTAACTTTCATTCAGCCCTTGGGCAAGGAGGTTATTGATACCTCGTGCCCTTGCCAAGGTCCAATAGAGAAGTTCCTCACTAGCGAGCAACAGAGCTCTAGCTAGGTTTGGAGATTCGGCATCAAACACACACCGATTACGAATATTCCACAAAGTCCATGCTCCCAGAACCCCCAGAATAATGATGGAGTTGAGGCCCTTTCTTAAGGGAGCAGCCACTGCATTTGAACTTCTGTCACACCAATCATCAAAGGAGGTCTCATCAGACTGGGGGTAAGCACTTGTAAGCCCACTCTTCGCAGGAGGAAGAACCAGAATTCACAAGCAAAGACGTAGGTTGATAGTAGGTGATTGATGTCTTCTTCGTCTTGATCGCAAAGTGGTCAACAGCCGGGGTGTGGGAGGCCTCTTCTTGCAAGACGGTCGGCTCTCCAGCATCTATCTCGAACAACTAACCACGACATTTATTGTTGTTATTGGTTGGATGGATGAATGTTCAACCAATGATTCTGGTTCAGCTATAAATATTTCTTGTATTTTAATTTTATTTATTTTTATTGGTGGTCTTCTGATTTTGTAGCTTTTTATTTTTTTTCTATCAGATTATTTATTTATACGGGCTTTGGTTTTTAATGTTTATTATTTACTTTTTTAGCCTTCACGCACATGTACATGTTCATGAAGCCCACAAGCAAGATCAGCGATTATTATTATACATGTTTAAAGAAGCCTCCAGGCAATAACAGGCGTGGAATCCCAAACATGTGTAGACTGGTGACAGCTCCCAAGTGGGTCAGATCTGAGCCCGGGGATTGGGTGGACGGCAGGGACTAACCCTTCCTCAGTCCAAAAAGAATGTCGTTTTATATTTAGACTGAATCAAACTTTTTTAAGTTGGACCAGATTTATAAAAAATAGTATCAACAATATTCATATCTTCAAATAGGTTTATTGTGAAAATATATTTCATTATCCATCTAATGGTACTTATTAAACATCATAAATATTAGTATTTTTTGTATATAATTGGTTAAATTAGAGATGGATTGATTTTTTGAAAAGCAAGAATGACATTTTTTTTTTGACAGAGGAGTACACAGGTGCAACAGTCCACGCATGTATACCATGCACGGTTTCCAAATAAGGTCTAGATGGGATTCAGAAACCACTGGGAGTGGCTCACCACCACGACCCTTGGGTGGTGGTACCAACAGATGCTTCAAGAACCATATGATATTAGGATCCCACCCATTTGCAACGCAAACCATAGTCACTGGATTCGTCTCCAGACCATCGATGGCTTTAGAGTGAGACCATGAATCCTTCACACACATGACTGGTGGTGCCGATAAGGTCTCAAGTGCAAGAGCCTCCTCAAATTGAATGACAATGCGTCAACGACACCAATGGACAGGAGACAGCGGTGATAGCGACGAAAGTCTGTGAGAAGACATCCCCTACACTCCTCCATCTCCCTCAATTGTGGAATGGCAATTTACACCTCACGCAATTGACCAGAAGTCTCAGTCACGGGTGGACAGAGATGAAGATGCAGCTTCCAACTGAACTGAAGATGGAGGGGAAGATGCTGACTGCATACCACCATCAGGGTGGAACAACTGCTGGCGCAACTGAGCACTCATCCGCTGACCTCCAAGGGGCCGGGGCTGCTTGCAATGGCCAGAGCTTTATGACATTCCTCCTTACAACGGAAGCACAACGGAAGCAGCGAGATGTGGTCTTCCAGTTTGCCGCAATGTGCTCGACAGAAAAACAGTTGAAGCATTGAGCCACTGACGAACACAAGGTTGGCAAGTACCCTTGTGTATTCGTTTTGTGATAAGTGATTGTCAATGTGATCCACGAAGTGGGTTGAGTGGTGACTAACCCTACCATGGCGAAAGCTATATGTGCAACATGTCTTTTGGCTTGTGTTGTGCAGGTGTGGAGCTCGGATGCGGTGGTCGACGGCGAGGTGAAGGTCAAGGAGGACGTGCTGTGTCGACGGACCGGGAGCGGTGAAGGACGGACGTGAGGCTTGGACCAAAGGATCCAGAGGCCGGGTGACTAGCCACGGTGGCTGACACTTGGGACATCGACAAGTGCAAGAAGACATGGGAGTGACGGTGTTGACCGAGTCAAGACGGCGGACGTGCGGGTCGAGCGAGGCTCAGAGGACTTAAGCGTCTTTGGCCGGTCGAGGGGACTACAGCGGTGACACGTGTCGAAGGGCGGGACGCGACGTCTGGTCGCGCTTCTCATGAGCGGTTTGTTTGGTGGTTGGGCCTCAAAACCATCGGTGGTGGGTTTACGGGTTTGGACCTCAAAACCCGGGCGGAGGTTCCGAGGAGGAACGGACGGCACGTGGCGGCATCGAGGAGTTCGTGTCAAGGCGAAACTACTGATGAGGAGGTGCGGTGGCCGTCGGATGAAGATGACACCGGGTTGAACCATAACGCCCTTGGGCTAAGTGGTTTGACTCAATAGTATCCGTGGGCAAAACTGAGATTGTGTAATAGACTGTTAAATAGGATGGGGGACCCCATCTCCCTTACCTCTTTCCCATTCTCTCATTTTCTCTCTTCCACTTAGGGTTAGCTCTTCTTCTAGTTCTTAAGAGAGAGGTCCACTTATAAAGAAAATCGTGAGTGTAAACTGTGATTTGGTGTGCGAATGGAGGCCCGAATCCTCCAGTTGTCCTCCGGGATTCAGTGATTTTGTGTGTGATTTTCGTCACTGTGTTCTTGAGTTTTTTTCCCCATTTTCGTTCATGCCTACGATCTCGTTTTCCCGGAGTTTGGATCAATCCAAGGAAATGATTTCTTGGGGCTAGATTCGTAGCGCATTGAATTTGGTCTGTACAAATTTTGAGCGCGGTACGTGTTGATTTGACCCAGTTCTCGTCGGATTTTTTGAGTCGCCTCCCTCTGTTCGTCGCTCTGTTCGTGCGCTGTTCTTGGGCACTCACGTACAGGCGTGCGCACGGGCGGCCCCAGCAGCACTCGGCAACAGCGGCACCAACGCCGGCCCCAGCTGCCGTGCGCGCTCACCAGAGCACCACTTGCCCCTGGGACAATGAGACTCGTCCGCTCCTGTGCGCTCGGTTCCTGTTCATCAGTCTTCGTTTTTGAGTCACGAGCTTCGGATATTGCAGCCGTTGTTTTGCCGTGTTCTCTACTGGACGGTGTGCATACCCTCGCCTGAGCTCTTCCGCATCGGTGAGCAGTCCCACCGGCTTCGTATTCCAGGCAACGTTGTTCGTCGTGTCTTTGGTTGTTGTCCCTTTTCAAGCAATAGTTTTTGAACTAATTAAATATTCACTTGTTTGATTAGTTTGTTGACTGGATTGAGCATGTGCTCTCGTTAGCTTCTCTCTGTACTTGTTTGGCCCAACGTCCAGGAGGCAGGCAGCACCTCCTGGTGGCTGCTCATTCAACTCCGAACTGTTGTTGCTTGCCAGTTTGACCTGAGTGACCAGTCTATTTCATCTCTACAGGAGAGTCAGTCCCCAGCGTTCGGTGGTGTGCAGCCCAGCCATCGGCGAATTTCCAGCTGATTTTCTGGTGTAATTTTTCAGGCCTTGATTTCTCATTTTGAGTGCAGTTTGGTCATCTGAGCTCCAAATCGGATTTCATCTGTTGCATTGGTATTGTACCGTTCCAAAGAATTGATCTAAGTACTCTCGTTACCAGTTGGCTTGGGTATTTTAGTTTTCACCAGCTCGCTTGTGTTTGGGGTAACTTTGGGACAGCGGCCAAATATTTTGCAAGAAATTTGAGACTCCCATTCAACCCCCTCTGGTCGCCGTTTCCGGTCCTTCAATTGGTATCAGAGCCGGTTAAGGATCATTCCACCTTAATCAGTCCGTGATCCACGAAGGCGACATAGAGCGTGGTTCCGGTAAACCACCGTTCTTCGATGGAACAAACTACCCCTATTGGAAGATCCGCATGTCTGCGCATCTCCAGGGGATTGATTGGCTTGTTTGGGAAATTTGCGAGGATGCTACCTACGTTGTGCTTGAACCCCGTGCTCGTGTCACGCAAGATCAAAAAGATCGACACAACGCTAATAGC